AAAGTTGGAAGGGATCTTGGAGGTCATCTAGTCCAACCCCCTGCTCAGGCAGGAAACCCTATACCATTTCAGACAAATGGCTGTCCAGTCTCTTCTTAAAAACTTCCAGTGTTGGAGCATTCACCACTTCTGGAGGCAGGTTGTTCCACTGGTTAATTGTTCTAACTGTCAGGAATGAACAATCCCAATGGACCATGAAAAACTAACGGATTTCAAACCAGTGTCCTGAGACAATGAAATGTGAGCAGCTGCTAAAAATGGGATGTTTACCCCAGGACAAACAACAGTATATTCTCCAATGGCTTTCTTTAATAAAAGCTCTGGAATTAGTGCCATTATTCCACCACACATTTAGAATTTCAAAATAAACTGGGAGCTCATTCTAACCTCTTTTCACTTTTTCATTTTTTTTCTATGGGTGGCTGGACCTCACAGAAGGCAAGGCCTGGCCACTTTTGTCTGGATTCAAGCTAAGCAAGGTTGCGCTAGTTAATACTTGGATGGGAGGCTTCCAGGGAATACCAGGTTTATGGATTACATTGGAGACTAGAACAAAAATTCATGAAAGATGATGGCAAACCATCTCCATACTGTTCCTCAAAAGCTGCAGGCATGGTCTGGATGAAGCCACCAGAACAAGAGCTCACTTTGACACAATAGGTGACTGGGATATAGCTGATGCCTTCAGTTCCTGCCTCAACAGTCAGCCCTTCTCCTTTCCCCGTCAACTTTGTACTCTGTACCTTGTCAAAAACATCACGGACGTTGGCCTCACTCTCTCCAAACCACATGGTGAGTAGCTCAGGACCCTTGATGGAGACAAAGTTGGCCTGGCATTCATTTGCAATAGCCTTTGCCAGGAGGGTCTTGCCACAGCCAGGGGGCCCATAGAACAACACACCTCGTGACGGTGTCATTCCAAACTTCAGGAACTTGTCCGGATACTCCACTGGGAACTGATGAGGATGAGAGAGCAAAGAATTAAGAAACTTCAACCATTCATCTTATAAACATCAGTACTATGTCTGCTTGAAAAAGTACATTCTGACTTTTCTTCATTGTCTGAGTTGTAAAGACTAGCTAAAGAGAGTGGATTTACCCTCATTTTCTGTCATCACTGCCTACTCAATATGTACACCACCCATTATTAATCTGGAACAGAGATGGACCATAAAAAGTATCTCACTGCCACTGGTCATGCTGACAGGAAGGGATAGGTGGGGAAGTTCAGCAACTTCCTAAAGGTGCCAGAGGTCTGTGTTAAAAAGCAAGAGGACTAGTGCACACACAAGATGTAGCTTTGGTTTATAGCTGGTCTCAAATACACAAACAAAATTATACGTATGCATGTGAACTTAATATATATTTTACATTTATAGAAGCAGTATCAAGGATGTCTGTGATGAATGATACTGTCAGAGTCCTTCAAGCATTAAGCAACAAAACTTAAATTCATTTACTGTTAGAGAGGAGATATGTCAAGAGCACAACTTCTGATTAAGCTTTCAATTTGGAAGCAATCTGCATTACCTTATCACCACCTCATCACTTAATATATCAAAGCAAACAAAATTCTTGTCTGCTTTTTAGTTGCTTTTTTGCCCAGAGCAGAGATGAGGTCAGTGAGTTCAGAAGTTCTGTATAAATACTGTGGAAATGTATAAAATTCAGCAATGGAATTTTCTAGAGAATTCTAGCACATTCTGTTTGTCCATGTCAGAGATTTAGTTTAGGAAATTTACTTTCAAATGATTATGCCCTGGAATGGCATAATCCAAAATAAATTTGGCATGCTCCATAGGGAATGCTTTTCAGAATGTTCCATTTCTGAATCACTGAATTTTGCATATCTCAGTGGTGATATATTTGGATTGAAGTTGGCCTTGATTTTACAACCAAGAGGCCTGTTCAAGGTTAAATGATCCAACATGCTGTTCAGAAAAGGCTATAAAATAGAACAGTGCTGGCAGAAGTCTGTTCGTTTCCTACTGAAATATTGCTTTTTTGTCCCTAAAAATGTATCCATGGATTTTTCCAGTTGCTAAAGGAGGCCACTGCATTACTGTAACTCGGAACTGCTCTTTAAGCCACTGAGAGCTCTCATTAAGGGCAATGCCATATAATGTGCTTTCAACCGAATTAATCTCCTCAAGGTTCTCTGAGACTGTAGACCTCCATTTTGGAACTTTTCCTTCCCTGCCCTTGATTTCCCAAAATGGATGTCCTATTACAAGCGAGACACACTGAGGTTTTTTTTCAAAAGGGTTGGATCGCAGCATAGTTAACGTATTTGCATTGTCCTTTATCTTTTTATGCTATGCAGACACGGTTAATCACACATACGTTCTGAGGTGTTTGCATTACATGCGTGAACGACTGACCTGCACCAGTTCCTGTAGCTCACGTTTCACTTCCTGCAAGCCCCCAATGTCGTCCCAGGAGACTTGCGGCACTTCCACTACCGTCTCCCGCAGCGCAGAGGGGTTGCTCTGGCCAAGAGCCCACTGGAAAGCAGAAAAGGCAGCATGGTCATCACCGCAGTCCGTATCATAGCACAAAGCCCTGAGATCAGTGACTGCCCCCCAAGAGAGTTCATCATTTTGCTCATCTTTCATTCCTGTAATCAAGCCTAACATTCCATGAGGCTAGACAACATGCCCATTCAAAAGAATAAACCTTTCTATATTCAGATTGGTGGCATGGATGTGCAACAGAAATACAATAACAATAGCAATAGCAATAGCATTTAATATACCACTTCACAGTGCTCTACAGCCCTCTCTAAGGGGTTTGCAGAGTCAGCTTATTGCCCCAACCATCTGGGTCTTCATTTTACTCACCTTGGAAGGATGGAAGGCAGAGTCAACCTTGAGCCAGTGAGACTCAAACTGCCAAACTGCTGGCAGCTGGCAGTCAGCAGAAGCAGCCTGCAGTACTGCATTCTAACCACTGCGCCACCAGGGCTCCCTTTAACGAGGAGGCAATAGTTTCACTGTATTCATTAATATTCATATTTACGCTGGGAAGAATTTTCTAACCATTTCTGGGAATCAGGCGGCATATATATCTAATGAATAATAACTAGTTCACCAGAAAAATGATGAAAATGATGAAAATCATAGCAATTCCATTTTGTAGAGCACAGAAGCTCTTAAGGGAGTTTGGAATAATTATAATACTAGGTGTCTCCACTAGGTCTTACCTAGTGTGCAAAAATTGTTTTATGTTGGATCTGTAGAGGACACCAAATGAGGAGCTCTGGAATTTGCCACAAGACAAATCAAATCAAATACTTAAGTTTAACCTACCATTGTGAGACAACGGTCATCATCGTACATATACGATGATCGTATATAAGGAATAATTTAAAAAATATTACCTCTTCTCCATAAGATGTGAGGAGGAATGGTAGCCATTTTGAAAAAGAAAAAAAATTGAAGATGGCCCAAGTTAAGTAGTCTAGAGTATTCTAAGGAGACACAAAAGAACCAGCTCCTTTGTCTGTTGGTACACAATGGGGTAAAGCCCATAATGCTAAAGGAATCTGCTCCACTGGAGGAGCACCAGTGGTGGGATTCAGCCGGTTCGCACCACTTCGGCAGAACCGGTAGCTAATTTTTTGTTGCCCAGGCCCAGAATGGACTTCCGGAAGCGGCATCCACACAGAGAACCGGTTGTTCACATATTTGAATCCCACCACTGAGGAGCACACTACAGGAAACATCTAAGTGGGAGATATTGCTATTGCATGCCATATGTAAATGGTACATAAACTAACACTGATTTGTAAGGATTAATTGGCAGGAGTGTTGGGGTGTGGGGAGGGAGTTGTATGTGAAGAAACTGAATCTATATGAAAAATTTATTTTCCATCAGTGGTACAAACCTTAATTTCAAATAAGACGCTTGAGTATTTGTTTTGAAAAAGACCTTTAGAGAAATTATCAAAGAAACAGATTACTCTTCCTAGTCCAAGTAGAAATCTGGACTATATGAAACATTTTTTTTTCAGGCATACAGTAAATATTCTAAAAGAACCTCCTCAATTATTAATATATATGTAATAAAGGAATAAGTACAAGATACTTGCATTTGGATCCAGATAGAATTAAAAAAAATGAACAAGAGATACTGTACTGCAAGAGTATGGACCATACTTGACTCAAAAAAGTTTGACATGAACGACACATAACAACCCAATGTCATTTCAGATGTCACAGTGCCCATTTGTTTTGTTTTGTTTTGTTTTGAAAAAAATGCATACAGAACTTTAAAAAAGTGAACGAATATGGCATAATTCAAGAAATTATGAACCCTATTCTGTGGTGTGCATTAATGGGCCCGGTCACCCAGAAAAAAATGGTAAAATGCCCTTTGTATGGATTCTGCAAAATCTAAGTCTTTGAATGTCTTGTAACTTTCACCGCAACCCCCATTGCAAGTAAAGGTGACCGCTGAGAGCTTTGCACCTGGGTGACCTATATATTGCTCTTCTGATATTCAAACTGGCACTGTTAATCACCTGCCAAATTATTAAAGAGGATAGCAACTCCACTTTTCATTCCAGCTTAAAAAGACATCTGAATATAGAAATGGGCCAGTCCGGGAAAAGCGGATGTTGAGCCCAATGAAGACTTTGATAACTGCTGCCATTTGGTTTGAGAACTATGGGAAGAAGGAAGCACCTCAAATTGGATGGGGAAAAAAACATGACAGTAGCTATAGGCTTTGAAAGTTATACACTACAATGAAAACCTGATACTAAATCTTTAATAGAACTGAAGGTATCTTTGCAAGCTCCCTGACAATAAACATCTTTCAAATGGTGAAGTAAATATGAAGTATCATGTCCATTTATAGAGACTACATCTGACTCAGCTGGCAAAACTAACAAAAGCATTGGTTTCAAAGTTATAACTAATTCAGGTCAAGCTAATCAAGAAGTGTTTTGAGACTTAGAGCTGAGTAATTACTGTGCAGAAATGACTCTATAGTTCGGAATATTGTTTAAAAAAGATGGGGGGAAAAGATATAGTGGAAAAGTAGAGTTTTTACTATATTCTTACTGTTCTCTTTTTCTTCTTTCCTGCACTCTTTACTCCTCTCTATTTTCTTTCATTTAGTATTATATTTTATTATTATAATCAAAATATATAATAGAATATATAGCAGAAGAACCATGCGTATGCCTGCCATAGATGTATCACATCAATAACAAAATTATTCCAACACAAGGTAACAAGATAATGACACACACTACCAATTAAATCAAATCCTAAACATCTGCACTTTGAACAAACACAGTTGGAAGCCATTTAGTAATTATAAAGGAAATGGTCTTTGCAAAAAATCAAGATGCTGTTGTGTATATTTAGAAAAATGTTGAGTCCATTTGTTTGTAATCTGTTTTTAAGGCTGTGTTAAAAAGCAGAAATGTAATAAATCAGCAACACTGAAGGAAGGGGCTGGAGGAGTGAGACTGCAATCTTCTCCGAATTTGGGGCAGAGTGTTCTGGGATTAGTTTTTCTGAGAAACTGGGCTCCGTTGACAAGAACTAAAAAAACAAAAGTAAATTATTATAGAAAAAGTATTTAGCCACTGGATGTCCAGAACCAGCCTACCTGGAAATCATCCATGGTGACAGCCATAGCATTAAGGATGTCAGCATCGATTGTATCATCCTCCAGGTCAATGACGCTCATCTTCTTACGGATTGCTTGGAGTGCTGCCTCAGAACACAATGCTGCCAGATCAGCACCCACATGACCATGGGTCTCATTGGCCACCTGCAACCACAGTTCAGGTAAATCAGAACATTTAATGGGGGAGCACCCTAAAACCAGGGGGAGACCCCTGCAGCCCGCCTGGGCTCCTCCCAGTATTTATTTGATCACATTTGTATAACTCCTAATCTCACTTGGTAACTCTGGTGGCATACATAATAATAATCCAAGGTATATAAAAGGCACCAAAACAATTTAAATTAAAATAAAAACCAGATAAAAACAAATTTATAAAATGGCAGGAAAATGTTCCCAGAGTGCATTCCATTAGCCATCATATAACCATCTAACAAGCTCTACTCTATCCTGGGACGCCCAAGCTAGTTGACAAAACCAGGTTTAAGAGCCCTCTGGAAGACCAAGAGAGTTGAGCTAACTGCATGGGGAAAGGAGAGGGATGATATTTCACAGGTTGGGAGCTTCAGCATCCCATTGTAGCCCCCAAATATCCTGGAATTCTGCTGATAAAAAATTCAGAGGGAAAATTGCTCTTTGACTGTGGTGGTATTGCTTTATTTTAAGAGCAGAATGGGGGAGAAATCACAACTATGAAAGGCAAGGTCAAGCTTATGTGAAAGTTGCAGCTGCTGTAATTAATCTGTGACTTCTCCTTAAGATAGCATGTTTGAATTTCTATTTTTAAGCCTTTCCATTCTCTTCACTCTTCATTTTTGCAAAATAACATAACAATGTAAGAGTGATGAGACACCTCTAATTCCCCCATCCTTCTGCAATTTTGTTTGAATGTATTTTCCTAATTCCCATAACTCAATTTTGATTCCAGCTAACTTCTTAATGAGATACTCATTTGGCCTGTGTACCCTAATAAAGCTAATGTAATCATGGCCTTAGTCCCAGAATCCAAGACAGCTGCATGTTTAATTTTCTAACTATTGGAAGCAATTTACGCTGCCAGTTGTTAACAATATAGCTTCTACAATTTTCTAACTGTTCCCAAAATAAAAATGTGTGTTCGGATATGTAGCTAGTCTTACACGTCCATGATCAATAAACTCAGTCAAAAGTAACTACAACATGAGTGCCTTCTGAATAAAATTACCAAGAGAAGTTATTGCTACTATCAAGGAATTCTTAACATTTGAACAGTAGATATTTAGATATGTAGTCCCAATTCCTTACCCTCTCCAGGTCCACATCATCAGCCAGTTTCATGTTCTTGGTATGTATCTGTAAGATTTCCAGTCTTCCCACTGAATCTGGAATTCCAATGTCTATTTCTCGATCAAAGCGCCCTGCATAAAAGCAGTGAGTAAACAAGATTGTCCAGTCCTGAACAGATATTTTTTCCACACCACTATCAAATTTTATATATATCAGGCATTAACTAGCTCGCTGACTGATGGAAAGAGATGATGCCTGCTTGTCTCCAGTACACTCCAAAGCTCAAAGAGCCTGGGAAAAATGGCATTGTTAGATAGACAAAGAGGTGGAGAGAATGCAGTCCTCAAATGCAGAAAGCTTGCCTTCTTTTTGTTTAATAGGCTAAGCATGAGTGACAGACACTTTTAAGGCATGACAGTCAACCTCTTTCGACTGAAGGGTTGTTGTTTTTAGCGTATAGCTAAAAGCAACTTATGATTCTGATACATGATATCATTATGAATGGCACATAAGACCAGATCTCCTGAAGGCAAGAGAAAGGCAAGGGTAGAAAGAGAAAAATGTGGGACAGATTCTTACCAAATCGACGCAAAGCAGGATCAATACTGTTGGGTCGGTTAGTGGCGGCCATAACTATGACATGAGACCGTTGCTTCAGGCCATCCATGAGGGTGAGGAGTTGGGAAACAATCCGGCGTTCCACTTCCCCATGTGTCTGAAATGGGAACACAAAGAAGTACCATAGAATCACCAAATATCAGCAATAGTGCCATCCTAGAGAAGCCAACAAACCATTCTAGATTGCAGATTGTCAGTACAGCACCTCCTAATGGAAGAATTGCATGAGACTGTTAGTGGAGGTAAGAAAGGAACAATGGTTTGGAAAGTCTGAGATGCATTATTTGCAGTCTTGCCTTATTTGGATATTGGATTTGAACAAGTTCAACTCCCTGCTGGGCCAAGGAACTCACTGGATGACCTTGGGCCATCACTGTCTCCCAATACAACTAATTATAATCAGAGAATTGTGAAAATAAAGCATGGGGACAGAAAACCATATATAACATCCCCTGAACAGGAAAAATACAGTACACTACAAGTATCCATTCATTCATTTATAAATGAAGGTAATATTTTGTTTAGCAGCACCTCGTCCACAAATTATAGCAAGTTTCTTGCTAGTTCTTCTATAGTATGACTTCAGTTGGCATCAGACTAGGACAGCACTTATTCTTAATGCTTATCAGGATAGAGGTTTCTACCAGTCCAGTCCTCCATTATGAAACCTTTCATCTTGGTGTGAATTTTACTCCATACAACCATGCTTTCTTCTAGATAGGTTTCCTGCTTTATTGTGTGGACAGTAGCCCTGCCTGCTTTTTCATAGAACTCACCAAAGAAAAAAGATGCATTATCTCTCAGAAGACTGGCTCTGCACATTAGTACTGAGGAAAATGGTCAGGACTTTGTATAAATTAATGTTTCACCCACTGATGAAATGTTGTCATCCTAGAGGCTAATCTTTGTGTCTCTATCAACATCTGAGGTGGGGGCAACTGAACGGACTAATTTGAAGCTATAATGCAGTCTCAGAGACCATGAGTGTTTTTCCGAGATTTCCTCTTTGCTTTCAAGAAACCACCCCTTACCTTCTCTCTCTTAGGAGCAATAGCATCCAGCTCATCAATAAAGATAATAGCTGGAGCATTCTTCTCAGCCTCTTCAAAGGCTTTGCGTAAGTTGCTCTCAGATTCCCCGGCCAACTTGCTCATGATCTCCGGGCCTGAAGAAGCAAGAAAAGAATATGAACAAAAGGATTCTTGAACAATCATCAGGGTCCAGAAAAGAGGACCCAGTGGGCTACCTGGCTTTAGGATCGCCACTTTTCTTTCTTGTTTGGTCATTGCCCAGAGCTGTAAAATTCATTCCATTGGTTCCCATTATGTTGTTATGCTATTCTACAATATACAATGATTCCTTTACGCCAGACATGTCAAACACAAGGCCTGGGGGCCGGATGCGGCCCGCGAAGTGGTTTCATGTGGCCTGCAAAGCCATCCTGGAAACCGTGAGGGAACGGCCCCTGCTGCCTTGGCCCTGGCCCAGGCCGGCCGGGAGCCAATGTACAATGTTGTGGTGGCCATCTATGCTGAAACGCATTCAGTCTTAGCTCCACAAGGCTGTCTGGAAACAGCGAGGAACCAGCCCCTGCTGCGCCCCCTGGGTGCATGCTGGGGAGGTGTCACCCTTTGTGAGGAATGAAGAAATGCACCATTGCCTGGAAATGGCCAGCAAATGGCCCTCACCTACTTTACATATCTGGCTTGATGGGCTCTGCCCTGGTCCCACCCCTTTCTGCCAGAGACCCTCAGATCTGTCCCACTCCTGCCCAGGCCCCCACAGGCACCCTTGACACGAATGATGTAGAGCTGGCCACGCCCACCCAGTAGGCCACACCCACTCCATCCACACCCACCCAGTAGGCCACACCCACCCTGCCCCCCCAAGGGCAACTGCAATGCTGATGCGGCTCTCAATGAAATTGAGTTTGACACCCCTGCTTTACGCTCATCATATAGAAATGTGACAGCTAGGAGAATATGGATGTCCAGGATCCTGTGACACTCACACGGAAAGACTCACATCACGCTGTGTTTCTTACCATTGATAAGGAAAAAAAATGCTCCAGTTTCATTTGCAACTGCACGGGCCACAAGTGTTTTCCCAGTTCCAGGGGGGCCATAAAGAAGAATCCCTCTTGGAGGCTGAGGAAGAAGGAAGAGAGAAAGCAGAGGAATCACATCAAATGAACGTGTAATAGGTAATTGGTTCACCTGGCAGTGATACAGTCAAGGAAGACATTTGGGGCAATAAATTAGGTGAGGATATAGTAAAAGCCATAGAGGCCCCCAGCATTCTCTTATTCTTTTAGCAATAAAAGTTTACATTACAAGGCCTATAGCCTGCTTGGAAAGAAAGATGGAGAGAATGCAAGCAATAGAAACTGAAACAGAATGTCCATCTGTCAAAGATAAAATAATATGGCATATTTTAAAGCTAAGAAGGACGGTGAACAATAATACGGAGATTGTGATATTCCTAGCTCGCCATTGTAGTACCTTCACTCCAATTGCTTTGAAGAGCCCTGGGTGTCTCAATGGCAGCTCCACCATCTCTTTGATTTGAGCCAACTGTTTACGGCAGCCCCCAATGTCATCATAGCCAACATCATTGAGGCTCTCCTCTTCATCCTAACAAAAGGCACACAGAAAACACACCACAAGATCCTCGCAATGAATCACAGCCTCTCTTGTCAACTAGAACAACAGTATATATACAGCCACAATTGGATTGGAGTCTCATATCTTAAAAGTCTTTATGCTCCTCTCTGGTAACATTTGGAATAACTGCAGAGCTGCTCTTAAAATCTTACCCCTCTTACCCCTTCGAGATAGTCCAGACAAGAACCACAAACCATAAATGCTACGGTAATACTATGGTAATGCTACCATTTTTGCTACAGCAAGAATGTTTTTAATTGCACACTGCCCAGAGTCACTTTGAGAATGAGATGGGTGGTCTCTAAAGTTGATAAACAAAATAAAACAGAATCTTGCAAGTCTGAAAGCAGTTCTCTCCTCCTTCACTTTTACTTTCCAGAAAATTAGGGAGTATCGCTTCTGAGATGGTTCCCATATCCCCTTTTCCTTCTGTGAGCTGAGATACCTTCTGCACGACAGTGGCCTAAGTTGTGGCTTTTCCTTCTATCTCCCAAGGTTATTCTCACAGACCATGACACCTCTGCACTATTCCCACTGGAAACCGCTGAAGAGCCTCTAAGATTAGCATCGAGATCTGGCTACTGGGTTCCCATTCTTGAGATGGATTTCATTAGCTCTCCCACATACCTCTCGTTTGATGGGCTCCCCCTCACAATGGATAATTGTGTCAGGAGCAACAATGCAGTGGGGACTGGGATCTACCTCCACCACCTTAAATTCCACAGCTCTCATTCCACCACGTACAAGGAAGATATCACCTAGAAAGAGCAGAGAAATTACATTGTTAGCTCAATTCATTACCTTCCTCAGAACTGAACCACAAAATCAAAGTGATGTCTCATGATAAGAGTTAGGGCTTGGCAACATGGGTGAAACAAAAAAAAGGTAAATGTCTAGCTAGTAAAGGCACTTTAAAAGCTGCAAAACCTAATTCATGTCTCCAGTTCCTATTTGTTATAGGAAACACTCTTGCTCTGGTGAGGCTCCCCATAATTCTAGAAAATGACAAAAATCATTTCCATCAAACTTTTAACTGTTAATTGGATTGATTTTAATAGTACTGATTTTAATTTTATCTGATTTTAACTACAGTACATTGTTTTAATTTTTTGTTCTATAATCTATATTTTGGTTGCTGCAAGTTGCCTTGAATGTTGTATGGAGAGAAAAGTGGGATATAAACGTAACCAATAAATAAGAGACTAAATAAAAGTAAGAGCAGCTGAAAAGGGGGGCAATTCCAGCCTTTGGGCACTGTATGTGTCCAGTGTCGTAAAGAAAAGCTATGGGGGAAACAGGTGTTGCTGCCATTTTCATTATTCTTATGGCCTATGACCTCAGCCCTTAATGCTGTGTGAGATGGAGGAAGACACCTAAGGCAAAGAGGGTTATAAAGACGGTATTGACTGCAACTACAGCAGCTAGCAGTATTTGAGCATTAAAAACAACTTGTGAGAAAAAAACTAGTACTCAGGTTAGACACTGGGAAACTATGAGGCCTAGTCCTGCCTTAGGAACAAAGCCAACTGGGTCCTTGCGCCTATTACTCTCTCTTAGTCTTAGGAAGAAGACAATGGCAAACCACTTCCAAAAAACTTGCCAAGAAAACTGCAGGGACTTGTCCAGGCAATCGCCAGGAGTCAACACTGACTCGAAAGCACCAATAACAAACAAACAAAACTTTGGGTGGAACTTGGTAGCTTGTGAGCCAAAGCATTCATCCCAGCAAAGCAGGAGCAGTTAATAAAGAGCTGTCTCTACCACTGTTTTCTTCTTCTCTATCTCAAAAAGTCTCTCACCAGCTCTACTCCTCTTTATCCTTTCCCTCAGGACGGGTCTAGTGGGATGACACATGAACAACTTCTACTGGGTGCTTTTGACTTCTGTTTTGCCAGCCTGATTGGTTTCAGGCCAATCCAATAGGTAACGTAGAGGCGACTGAGAAAATGGCTCCATTTCTTTATCAGTAAGGAGGTAGACTGCACAAGTGAAACAGAGAAACGTACTTTGCCAGTCCAGCTGGCTTGCTTGTAGCAAGGGAAAACGGGAAGGCAAGTGAGTCTGGCAGAAAGGGGACAGCGTAGTGGGAGTGCAATTGCTGGCACAACTGTTTTCTAAATGAGTCTGTCAATCTCACCTTTATGCACAGGACGATAGGCTTCCAGAAAGTATGGTTTGAGGTAGACATCAAAGAGGTTGCCAGTCAACCCTGTAATAGTGTCATCGATGGGGAGTACATGAATCCTCTTTCCATACTTCACATCTGGACAGGCCTGTACACTAGAAATAGAAAGACTCAGATGGCCTCATCTGAGGTCAGCATTGTGCTAAATACATCCATTGCTTACACATATTCCCCCAATGTTCAGCTAAGGAGGCTTCCATGATGGATGATACTGAAACAAGAATTAGATAGGACCAGAATATCTAGATATCTATTTTCTCTCCCACATCACTGTTTTCCTCCCTCTACCTAACAGCCCAATTTCTCTCTATCCAGCAGCAATCTGCAGAGAAGAAAAAAGAAACCCTTATCCAAGATCTCAGCTGACTTCATACTCAAGGCCTTTTAAGTAAAGCCAAGGCATCCTTACAGCATTAGGGCTGTAGGCTGCCCACCACTGCTTTGCAAATATCCTGGATTTATAGGGCAGGTCACCATAGCGCTTATTGAGTGTTCTTGTCAAATTTAATATCCCAAAATTCTATCTGGAGAACTTCTAAAATAATTTTATTTATATACAATAGTTTTGCTTTTTCTTCAAGACCCCCAGGCAGCATGGATGAGTATGTCTCCTCATCCCGTTTTTCCACTTGATAATTTTATGAGATATGTTAAACTAAAATGGTGACCTTGCCAAATTATTCAAAAAGTTTCAATGACTAAAAGAGAATCTGACTATCCCTGATCTTAGTCCAACACCCCTCTTCACCACATGTACAGTATATAGGAAAACTATTGTTAAGGCTGTTTCCTTCTAAATTGTTGAAATCTCCATATTTACTCCTACATTTTGTTTGATGACTCCTCCTTCTGAGCCTAAACTAAACTGTGGTATATTTGCATTTTAGCTTTCTCTTTCACCAGCAGTCTTTCCTTTCCCACCATTATTCTATTTTGGGGTGTCCTCACCTGACCACATCTCCAAGACGCACACGGAGGTTGTTACGGGTGACACGGTTCATTCGAATCTTCTCATTCTGGCAAGATTCATCAGTAAGAACAATGCATACTGTCTCCCTGCGTTTCTTTCCCTTCATAAGCACCGTATCTCCACGGAACAAGTGCAGTTCTTCCATTTTGGCCTGAGGAGAACCAAAATAGTTTGGTTTGGACCCTCCAAACATGCTCATTTTGCATAAACACTAGGCAAATCATTTGTAGGCAAAAGGAAACTATGAGAATCTGTCGTTAGTTGCATCACTGCACATATAGGCTATTAGGTATGTACCAGCATCCACTAGAGGTGAAGTTATATGTGTTGCAGGCTCTTTGTGGACTCAGGGCTGCTCAAAACTCTACTGAAGCCTTTCTGCCCAGATTATCCTGGGCAGCTTGTCCACTGCTGTCCTGGGGCAGTGGGCTGTTGCTAGTGCAGAGAAGCAAAAGGGGCTGCTCCTGAGGGTGGGTCATTATATACCAGTGGTGGCGAACCTATGGCACGGGTGCCAGAGGCGGCACTCAGAGCCCTCTCTGTGGGCACGCGCGCCGTCGCCCCAGTCCTAGGCTTTCAGCTGGGTTTTATAAAACCTTTTCGCTTTAGGCCTCCGCCGCAATGTGCAAAAAAAAAAAAAAAGTTCAATCACTCAATTTCAACTTCTCACGGGAAAAAAAAGATCTTGCAAAGTTGGAATTGATTGATTGTACTTTTTAGTCCCACCCAGTCTGCCGTTACCACTGCAGCCACGCCTACCCAATGGGCCACACCCACCCAATGGGCCACACCCACCCGGCACTCGATGATGCATAAGTGGGTTTTGGGTTGCAGTTTGGGCACTCGGTCTCTGAAAGGTTCGCCATCACTGTTATATACTAATATTAACAGCACTGTTTTCAGCAGATGAGGAACTGTCTCCCTTTGCTGATTTTCCTCATGGTTACTTAGCATTATGAGCCGTATATGGAGATGGTAGGAGGATGGAAAATAGATGCTGACTTGGGAAAAAAGTAGTGACAGGCAATTGGATAGCTGTTGGAAGACTGCAATTTGGCTGATGCAGGAAAAGGAAAGCTGGCTGGCTTCCCTTCTTTACAGACTGCAGTCTAATGTCCAGAGATGTTCGACAGCCCCGACCTAAAACTCTTCCTTTTCAATGCTATGTATACGACTGGGAAAAATGCACAGTATCCAACATTTTGTGTTGACCTGTACGTATTGCAAAGACATGCATGATAGAACAAGGTAGTGTCCCTTGGGACAGAGTTCCCCAACATTTCCGGTTTTGCGGACCAGCGGGCGGGGGGAGGGGATGGTTCCACACGAGTGGTCGGCAAGCACGCGCACGCAGCTCCATTTGCATGAGCGGCGTGCACATGTGCCTGCTGCTCACACAAATAGAGCATGTGCACAAGCGCTCACCCACTGCTTGTGCAAGTGAGGATGCGTGTGCGCTTGTGCACACTCGTTGGCCGTTTCAGCGGTCCGGCTGAGGAATTCTGGGAGTTGAAGTCCATAAGTCGTAAAGTTGCCAAGTTTGGAGACCCCTGTGCCATAGGACAGACAACATAGTCACAGAATGTGCTGAGAAAGTCCTCCCCTGGTTACTAAAGATGTCTAATTAGGCCATTCTCTAAGTTAGTGCATTCTAGGGCAAGTGTACGGCTTTACAACTCCAGATTCTGATTTTCTGGACTCATCTTCTGGAGTGAGGTTCTCCCTGAGATCCTGATGGCATTCTGGAGGGCCCTAAAGACCAGGGCCCCCTATGGCATTGAGTTATGGTGATTGGAGTCCTTTATGAATGGTCAATAAATGTGTGTTGTGGCCTGTATTTCCCATCTTGTTAATGTGAGGTGTTTTTTTTATGGCGTATTGTTGTTTCGTTTTTACATTGTAAGCCACTCAGAGTCAACTGCAGTTTGGCAATGTATAAATAAATAAATTTCAACCAGCATTTCATCCATAATATGATCCTGAGACTGCTTTGACTATTTTGGTAGCTGATTTACGTTGAAAACTAACTAGGGAATTGACAAATTATCCTGGACTTCTCAAAAGCTTTGAATGCCATGAAATTCTCCACAAATATCCAGTTGAACTGGAACTTAGAGGCGCTGTTTTGCACAGATTCCTATCTTTCCTATTGAGATATTTCCAAAAGGTGATACAGGTAGTCCTTGTTTAGTGGCTGCACCATTCAGTGACGATTCACAGTTATGATGCTGATGAAAAAGTAACTTTTGACCAAAATTATGCATTTATGACCTTCACAGGTATGTAAAAAAAAAGGAAAACCGAAATAAGACTGTAAGCACACTTATAGTCTTATTTAGGGACTGTGTCGCTTGATGACCGAATTACTGGTCCCAACTGTAGTTGCTAAACAAGGACTACCTGTACTGGGAAAATACTGTTAATATTGGATTTCTGACCTACAGTAGAGTGTTTCTACAGATTGGATCTTGTTGGCTCCATAATTCAACATTTACATGAACTCACTACAACAGGGGTGTCAAACTGCCGGCCTGTGGTCCGTATGCATCACAGCGAAACCGCGCCCACCCCATTGCTGGCAATGGCAAAAAAGTCACGATACGTCGCGACACGTCATGTGATGTTGCGAGTTTGACACCCCTGCACTACAATATTCACTTGAAGCTCCAGAATGCTGAAAACACTAAGCTATCTTGCTTCTTATTAATCTCAAAAAAAAATAATCAATGCCCTTGAATATATCGTAATCTCAGTTAACGGTTTTGGATGAAGGGAAATATGCCGAAACTAAATTCAGACAAGATAGAGATGTTATTGATAAAGAAAAGGCTGAATTTTGGAACTGAGGTGCTTGTTTTGGATGGGCACATTGCACATTTTGGGGGTGCTTTTTTTAAATGCCAAGTGGCAACTATGTCAGGGAATGGTTTTGCATAAGTGTAGCTAGTGTAATCACTGTGATCCTTCTTAAGTGGATTGGACTGAGTAATATTTGACCTTGCTTTGGTGATAGCCCATCTGAACTGCTGCCATGTTCTGAGCATGGATCTCCCTTGAGAAGTGCCTGGAAATTATTTGTAGCACCTCAGCAGCTACTAGTGCAAGTTATAGGAATCATTAAAATTGTTCTGAAATATTTTTTTTCTGAGTACAGGTAGTTTTCAACCTGTAACCACAACTGGAAGCAGAATGTCTGTTGCTAAGGAAGGTGGTTGTTAAATGAGCCATTCCCAATTTTATAATCTTTCTTCACTGCAGCCATTAAGTGAACCACATGGCAATTAAGGGAATCCACCTTTCCCCACCGACTTTGCTTGTTGGGAGCTGGCTGGAAAGGTTAAAAATAGTGGTCATGTGACCCCAGGATGTTACAGCTATTGTAAGTACGGTATATGCTGATTGCCAAACACAGAAATTCTGATCACGTGACTGCTGCAACAATTGTAAGTGAAGGGACTGGTTGTAACTCATTTTTTTCAATGCTGTTGTTTTGTGCTGGACAGTAATGGCAACAGTAATGATGTCTGTGATAATGTTCTCAGACATGCAAAAACAGCTTTTGTTAAGCTAAAGAGGAAAAGTAAAAGAAGGCCTATCAAGAGCTGAGAATTCTGCCTGCAAAACGTATGAAATACTGAGGATGGTTAAAACACTTCAGGATATGTGTGCATGCGTGTATGTGCTTATGGGCATACATGAAGAAAACACCAATAGGGATGATAACTAACTGGCTTAAAACGCTAGCAGGTGATTTTAGATTTAAGAGAGGGTCGGTTAAGAGTAATCTAACCACAACCAACCCAGTTTGATGAAAAAATAGAAACTTTAAAGTTAATATTTTATAGATTGTTTTATGTTGTGTTTATTGGGTAGAATATTTGAGGTAGGCTATAAATATGATGATAGAACTGTCTTTCCCACCCTCTCATTCTTCTGATATGTTGGGGTAGCAACTTTCCAAATTCTCAGTTATCTTGGCCAAAGGTACTGTAAATATTTCTGGGAAAGGGCTGACTTAACACCTCTAGCAAGCCACAGATTGGGAACACTGGTCTAGAATGATTTTGGAAATTGGAATGTAGGATAGAAATTGGTCTACTGAAGGCATTAAAAAAATGGATCAATGGGCTTAAATTTACCTGGGACAGACTCACAATACTATTGTCTTCATTGGCTGCTTCATCTACAACGAGGCGATTAGGACGATGTTTTTGGCGTAGGATGGCTGTGGAATAATCCTCTCCCTTGGGGCTGCAAAAGAGAAGAAATTTAGATGCACAAACATGGGATGTTATGATGGAGAAAAGGTTCTCAGAAGGTTTACAATCTGCACGCTATATTCACATATCATGCTGAACCACAAACTGGCCAACCACATTTTAACTCAGCATATTGTCCAAACTTAGTGAATGAATGGAGCCATTATAGGTAGTTTATGGTTCAGTGTTATATAAATCTATAATCCTGAGTTAGGTAAACCATATTTAACTTAATCATAAAGGTTGGGTTTGCATGACATGCTACGCAAAACTGTGGTTGGCTAGTATATGGTTCATGAAGTTGGATGAATGTAGCCATGGATTTTTAATTACAAAAATACCTAGGCCAGAGGTAGGCAACCTTGGCTCTTTTATGACTCGTGGATTTCAACTCCCAGAATTCCTGAGCCAAGCTGGCTCAGGAATTCTGGGAGTTGAAATCCACGAGTCATAAAAGAGCCAAGGTTGCCTACCCCTGACCTAGGCCAAAGAGATACTCAGACCACAGAAGCCTGTGATCTCATAAACCATGTGGGAATCTGATATAAAATGCATGATTGAAGATCATTATTTATCATCGTTAACATCATCACCACCACCACATCAATATTCCATACAGTAATAACATTCTCCCATTGTCTGTTTTTAACTTTCAGTTGGGCAAAGCAGTGCATTATAGGCAATAATTTTGGACTCAGTGTACCTCAAATGGGCTGACTTACAGAATGTGTCCAAAATCTGGGACAATTACTTCATGGGACTGAAATTTCAAGGATCTTCAGAACAGATGGCTGCTACAGCGCCATTGCTGTCAACTGTAGTCATGTGATTGGGATTTCCAATGTTCCCTGACAGCTTCCCACAAGCAAAGTCAATGGGGGAAGCCAGCAGGAAGTCAGAAGTCGCTCCCACTCCCACTGTTTTTTTGTTTTTGTTTGCCCAAGGTCAGACTGTTTATCTGTTTATGTAAGAAAATATATCTGAAACAATCACCCAATAGGACATGGGTTGTCTGGTTATTCATTACATTTCTATCCTATCTTTCAGTGCAGAATTCAAGCTAACATGTACAGCACCTTCTTGTATTTTTTCCCCACAACATTACAATGAAGAAAGCTAATTAAGGGAGCGTGACAGGCCCAGAGTCAACCAGGGAACTTTGATGAAGACAGAAGGTAGATTTCAGTTTGAATCTCCAAAGCTGGCACTACACTAATATTAACAACTTTACCACCTAAATATTTTTTAAAGGCAAGATTGACAGCAACATATTAAACAACAAATCTCAGCAATATTTATTGTGATTATTTTTTCACAATAAGTATTGCAAGAAACCTAGGTGGGGAACAATTATCTGTTATTACTTTACCTAAGAAATAAATATAGCTTGAAATTCAAATGATGTGTATCTCTGAGAGAATTCTCCCCCCTCTAACCTTACCCCCAAGTATCCATGTTTTAAATATTGCAGGCTTTTTGCAAGAGATGACTTTGAAAACCACAATGTATCTAATATATTATGCTAAGCCAGAATTTTTAACCAATTTTTTGACTCATAGTTTAGTTTTCATTACAATAAATCATCACAGGTGGGCTTATACATTTATTAAAATCAATCAATCAAATAAAATACATGATGGTATAGTACAATATGACAATCCAAACAATGAAAGTTGCTGCTGGAATGATGATTTGAAGGCTAGGGAAATTAGTTATCTCCCCAACAATGATACATTAAAGAAAAGCACTGGATTCAGTACAAGAGTCACAAAAACTAAGCACTTACTGCTGAGTGGTTTGACAGCTTAAATACTAGTTACCTAGCAAAAAGAATAGGCTATTTCAGATACAGAACTCCAGCTTACCAGTTAAAATGTTTTGTGCAGCTATTCTTTCCAAATATAAGTGATTGTTTGTTTGCTTGTTATTAGGAAAGAAAAAGTAAGGAACAAGGGGTAGGAACAAGAGGGTATTTCTGGGCCCCTCTAATAATCCACAGCTAAGGCTGCCAACTGCACAAAATAAACCACCTTTTGAAACAACCACAGATTTGCTTCTCAGGGCAAATTTCCAAAAGTAGCCACTACAATCTGATGGAAGCAGCAGCTTAAAAAAACAAATATTTACTTTAGCACTTATGGACAAAAGTCCATTCTGTGATACCGCGATAAAGTGAAATCTCACTTTAGGTGGGTAGGCGCAATAAAGCGCCTTCAGGAGTTGACAAGACTTTGTGCGTTTTCTTCGCAAAAGTTGAGGGGCAGAATAACCTCAATGCTTGGGGGGGGAGCGGGTCATGTTTCTTTAAAGTCTCAACTCCAAGGCGCATTCCTGCACCTATAAATAACCGGACAGTGCTGACCCTCCTCCTCCTCCGTGCTCCTGTTGTGTCATCATTCTCGGATATAAACATCAGCTGCCCCCTGCTTGGGTTTCCCCAAACAACCAAGGGAGAAGCGAGGCAGGAAAAAAAAAAGGCCCACGACCTGCTTAGAAAATCTCCTACTCATCCCGAGAATCAAGGGGTTAATACCCCACCAGCATTCGCTCAAGCCTATATAGAAGCTGCCCTATCCCGGCCAAGTTGAGCAAGCTGCTAACACCCCAACTTGTGGGAAAGTTTCCGGATCCTGTCAAAACTTTTCCGGGCTGAATCGAGTGTCGGGTCAGGCCCAAATCGAGCTTTCCCTAACGTCTTCTCTTCCGCCCGCTCCTCCACCCAGCCCGTAACTGTTTCCAAAGCTAAGGCGACGCAGAGGGGACGGGTTTCCTGAAAGCGACTCTACAAATATCGGCGCCGGGTCCCCCGAACGCCCCTTCCCCTCGCAGCCTTCCTCGCGTTAAGAAGCCAGAGTAGGGCGGAAAAGGCGTAGGCGCCGACTGCGGCGCCAGATGACTTACTCCCCTCCCGAGGCAGGCATGTCGGCTGTTCCGAGCCCTGTCGCGTCTTGGGCTGCTGATTCCTGTTTTCTTTCCCGCTCGGGCACCCGGGACACACGGCCGTGCCCTGCTCGGTCGCCCTCCCTGCTCGCGGCGGCTGGAAAATAGGTCTACTCCCACCCGCCCCTCTCTCGGCCTGTTGGCCCGCCCTCTTTCGCCACCGCCGCGCCAACCCTTTCCCAGGCGGGCTGACGATTGCTGGTGGGAAGAAGACTCCCTATATCTGATCCTTCAGCCAGCCTCCTCATTAACCCCAGAATGCCCGTGAGAAAGCCCATCTCTTTATGAATGGATATCGCCGCCTTCTACCCTACTCTGAAATGGTGAATCGGAGAACCGAAGGGCGCCTTTCAAATTATTGCGGGCCGCACAAGTGACATTTCACGTTCGTGGGACTCTCCTTGCATAATACGTGACTTATCCTCTTTTTTCCCCCGGCCTCGGGGGCCTCTCCGGCTGAGTCGGCTCGAGGAGCTTTCGCTGCCTCTTAATGGATATTTTTGTGGGTTAAAAACGAGCCGTGTAAAGCGAGGCGAGGGGGCGCGAGTGGAGAAAAAGCAGGAGGCTTGAAACCTCCCGCGAGCACTTCTGTGTACACTGCAGAGGGGTCACATGACAAATGTGACGGAACTAGGAGCGAGTTGTTTTGCCTCGGGTGGGTGTTCGGCGGTAGAGAAAAAGCAGAAAAAAAACTTCAATAAGTCATGCCCTGTGGAGAAAACCAGGCCAACGGCAACAGGACGGGCCGACGGGCATTCTGGGATGTGGAAAATAAGAAAGGAGATCCTGTGTGTCTCCAGGTAGAATGGATCTAGGAATAGTGTAGGGTAAGGAGTTTGTAATTGCAAGCTTGCAATTCTGTGTCCACCATTTAAAATCTTTGTAAGCCTTTGCACTTATTTGCTGCTTGGTTCAGCGCACTGTAGATTTTTCTAAAGGTGTTCAGTGCCTTAAGAAAAGTCTAAAGCAGTGTTTCTCAACCTTGACAATTTTAAGGCATGTGGACTTCAACTTCCAGAATTCCACAGCCAGCATTACTGGCTGTGGAATTCTGGGAGTTGAAGTCCACATGCCTTAAAATTGTCAAGGTTGAGAAACACTGGTCTAAAGAAGTGTTGTTTGGTGCTCTTGCCACATTACGGTAAAAAGGGCTATATCTTGGATAGCTATATATCCAAACAGCTGGAGAGCTATTTATTCCTTACAAACCAGAGTTGCTTAATTCTTTGATTATCTTTTTTCTATATTTGGAAAATTCAGGCAATCAATAGTTCATAAGACATTCTTTTAATTCCCCCTTTTATAAATCATAGTTTTATACAGTTGGTGGATATTATCATTTTCAAGCACTGATGCAAATAATTTCAATGTAATTTATACAAGGCACTAGAGAACTTTTCCTGTGTCATTTTTTTTCTGAATGAATTTCCATAGATTTCATTCTAATACTGCTGGCTGAAATCCTCTAACTTCTGCTGCATATATTATCACTTGTTTCTCTTTTGTGCTGTGGAAAAATAGCCAACTGACAGGCATGTAAAATCAATGGAATAAATATCTAGCCTATATATGAAATTAAATAAATGAATTTGTCTGATTAGAATAGATTATGATCAGAAACAGATTAAATGGCAGATTGTTTGTTTGTAACAAATTGCTAAGTATTTATTATTGTACCATCAGTCATTTGCCAATGCAGTCAATGGAAGCTATAGCCTAATCTATCACCATATATGTCATGTGCAGATATTGTCCTGGTATTCTATTTTTCTCCTCTTAAATAATTTTCTATGGCAAGAAAAACTGTTAACTGAGAAAAAATAGGAAAAACCGTAGCTGATTATAATGTCTAGATTTACTGCATGAAGATAAAATGGCTGAGCATTAAAAATAACCTAAAAGGCAGAACTTTGAATATTTTCGATTTAAATATGGTTGCATACAAATATTTGATATATATGTAGTTATTATAGACATTGAGCACTTGTAAAAAAACATGTAGCACCAATGTCTAATTATAATTTATGTTCCCAAACTCAACATATTATATAATTATATAATGCTATGCAATTAAACTGCACAATTGTTATACAAATTATGTTATATCATGCTCAATCCACTATACATTTGCATACCTATATATGTCAATATCACATTCCTGGATCATATACTGTATCCATATATCTGAATATAATCAAGATATAGCCTCTTATTCTTTTAAATAAAAAATACATTTAATAGTGTTTTCTGAGAAATACACTATCTTTGTGGAACAGGGTATACAACTTTGAATTGAGCACAGTATTAGATTGGATTATTCATTAGGCCACAGCTACTGTAGCTATTATAAAAGCCTGGACAGGCTGTTGAGGGGCAGATTACAGCTTTGGAAAATCCTGCTGGTGAGGTATTTTTTGTGTGATTGAAATACATCATTTTAAAAAAAATATCATTGGATTATGAAGTTTTTCATTACCACTTTAGCTTACAGAAAGCACACTATCAGTTAACTTTATTGTCATCGAGTAGACGCCAATCGAGTTAAGTTTGCCCATCTGAGTGTTTATCAAGGTGTGATCCTTCTGAGAGGTCCACAAAATAAAAATAATTTGCTAGCCTATGCTGAAAAATAATACAATATTAAAATCCCATCAAAAAATTATGAGAAGCATATTGGCAGTGAATGCATCAGTTTTAATTTTTAATATAGTAAATATTGATAAACATAGCCATATAAGCAAAAGCTCTCCTGGGGTCCCTTAATTTTTAAAAATGGGAAGCAGTCCTGAGAGAAAAAAAAGTTTTAAAAATACAGGTAGTCCTTGACTTACAACAGTTTGTTTAGGGACCGTTCAAAGTTACAATGGCACTGAAAAAAAATGACTTACGAACGTTTTTAACACTTGTGACTGTTGCGGCATCTCCATGGTCACATGATCAAAATCCAGACACTTGGCAACTGACTCCTATTTATGATGGTTGCAGTGTCCCAGGGTCATGTGATCCCTTTTTGTGACTTTCTGACAAGCAAAATCAATGGGAAAGCCCGATTCACTTAACAACCGTGTTACTAACTTAACAACTGCAGTGATTCACTTAACAACTGTGACAAGCAAGGTCATAAAATGGGCAAATTTTACTTAACAACTGTCTTGATTGGCAACAGAAATTTTGGGCTCAATTGTGGTCATAAGTCGAGAACTACTTTACTGGACTTTGTGCCCTTTTAAAATGGTTCCAAACTAGATGTAGTTCTCAAATTACAACCATTTGTTTAGTACTGTTCAAACTTACAACAGTGCTGAGAAAAGTGACTTACAGACAATCCTCACACAACCATCCCAATGTCCCCATGGCCACATGATCAAAATTCAGATGTTTGGCAACTGCCATTTGCTGTTTGTATTTATGATAGTTGTATTTATCATAGTTGCAGGATCCACAGGTTACATGACTGCCATTTGCGATTTTCCCAGCAAGCTTCTGACAAGCAAAGTCAACGATGATTCACAATACTTTAACTTAACAAATCCCTTGCTTAGTGAAAAAGTTCAGGATCCAATTGTGGTTGTAAGTTGAGGATCACCTGTCGATGAAAATTCTCGATCATCCAAGTAGAGTTGCCTGAAGATTTTATCTGAAGATCGAATCATTGCAACCGGACTAATTTTTGTGAGATGTTTCGCTGCCCATCCAGGCAGCTTCCTCAATCAGAGCAAGGCAGTTGGGCAAAGAGTCATTGGAATGTACCAATTCCAACCTCAGGGGGTTTCCTCCCCAAAGTGCATTGCAAAATGTCGATAACCTTCAAACAGCCTCGAGGATCACTTGTACTGACTTTAATAATAGTAACTTTTATTTTCCTAAAAGTACGCACGTGATATCCTTTAGAATGCATTGGTGATTTTTTTTTTTTTGTATTTTAAGATTTAAGGAAATGCTCCAACTGTCAATGAAAGTAGATGATTCACATCACTGTTTTGTGATTGGTTATTTTTACTGTCAAAAACTTGCGTGGGAAGAGAAAACCTTTTCTCCTCAGCCAGCCAGAGGTTTATGTAAATTATATTGCCAGTTTTTGTTTTGATAACTAATTCCTTCTGTTTATTCTCTGTCACTGCCTAAAATGCCTGTGTGGAGAGAAGGAGAAAAATGCATTGGGCCCTTGGCACTTGTCATAACCAGATGGCATTCTATGAAAAAAGCAATAGAGAGGATGCAGCCAAGCCAACACTGACTGTTCAAGCTGTTTGGTGCTCTCAGATGCAAATTTTAAAAGCCCAGGATTAAAATCAGTCAGTCCAGGTGAACTGGGAAATTATTGCCTTCAAATTGCTCGGCTAAAGGGAAAGAAATGGAAAAATCTGCATGATTTCCCAAACACTGGCTTGCTTCTGTTAGGTCTACCGCAATGTCATTGGCAGATAAACTGGGAAAACTGTCTTATCTGAGTCTGTACATGCTGCATACTGGAACCAGACAGATATTTTAGAAAAAAAATTGCTCTTCTGTTATAAGGTTGCTTTAACGCTTGCTGTATGTTCAGCAATATCTGGTATTTGCTTTTGGTACGGTATTATAAAAGATACATGTCTTTTACAACATCGCGTAAAGTTACTAACCACTTCCACCCACTGCATGTATCTTTAAAAAAAGGTCACATTGGTCTCACAAGAAAAATGCTAAGAAGTGCAGTGAGCAAAGCAGGGTTTTGGAAAGCACAGCAGGGCACATTTTTCTGATTACCTTAGTGAGCAGTGGGAGACAGTGTAATTGTCTGTTCAGTGGGGTCAGCACTCTTCAGTGCCATTAGTGTTCGCACTCTCTACTAGTTCTCAAGGACTCAAGAATACACTTAAGGAAGAGAGTTGACAGATTCTACACATGCAACACACACGGGTAAATACCCATCATGGTACTAAGCAAGAAATTAAAGTCATGAGATAAGGAAATATAACTATAGTTAGTTTACATCAACTCCTTTCACTATGTGTGTCTATACCTTTCTATCCTTGCAAATTATATTTATTTCCATCTTGTCCATACATTGCCTTTTACATCGATGTCACATACAACTTTCCCC